TAAATTATTAAAAAAAAAATTGGACCAATAAAAAAAAAAATAATCAAAAAATAGAATATGAGTATAGCACAAAAGATTCAGACAAAGATTTAAGAACTAAGCAAAAAAAAGAAAACAAAAAAAAAAAGCTATCAACTGAAGACTTACTACTAGGAATTATTAGTAAACTAGACAAACTTGAAGTACAATATGAAGCAAAATTCAAGTTAGCAAGTTATAGTTTTGCAGATTACTTCTAAAAACTACTAAGGTTAAACCAATAATTACAAATATAAAATCAAGCTTTTTATCACAAAATAAAGAAAAAAGAACTAAATCAATACAAAGAAATGCTCTATATTTGGATAAAGAAACAGAAGAAGATAAAAAGGAGCTATTAGAAATAGAAAAAATATATAAGAATAAAAAAATTAAGTTAAAATTAGCAACACATAATATTAATAGGCTTAAATCAAATAGTCAAAAGTTAAAAGCACTGTACAATTAGATAATCAATAATAAACTAGATATATTAGATTTAGCAGAAACAAACATTTTAGTTCTTTCTAAAAAAGAATTTAGAAGATTATAAAAGCATCTGGCAAATGCAAATTTAAATAAAAAGAAAGGTTTAGGAGTAAGATTATTAATTAACCAAAAATAAGAAAGACATTTAGATCATATAGAAAAAACAAATAAATATATGATTTTTGCTAGCTTTTTCTTTAAGCAGATAAAAATTATAATTATATTAGTTTACTTAACTTCAAGTAATAAAGAGAAAAGAAAAATAATTCTAGAAGTCAATAATTAACAAATATATTAAAAGATTATCAAGAACACAAATAGTAGTTATGGAAAACTTTAATGCAACAATAAATGTAAACTTGGATAGACTATTAAACCAAAAAAAAATAAGCAAAACCAGATTTACTGTTTGGCTAACTGGAAAGACAAGAGTTTAGTAATACATTTAGAGTAATTAATTCAAATACAAAAAAGTTTTTATGGTTTAAACATAGATTTGAATCAAGAATAAATTATATATAAATTACAGAAAAATTAGTAAATAGTCTTTATAAGGCAAAAATTTAAAAAATAAATACTTGTACAAATAGTAACCACAAAGCAGTTATAGCAAAAATGAAATTAAGTCATCTGATTATACAATACAGTGAAGCAAAAATAAGAAAAGAAAATTATAAAAGAACAGTTTTTCTTTATAATAAAGCAATTAAAAAAGACTAAAAAAAAGATAGACAGAAGCTTAATTCAGTATTAGAAAAGAAGATTAGTATCCAAAATCTACAATTTTTTTCATAGACAAATGAAGGTTTTAAATAATATAATTGATTAAATAAATGATAGAATACAATTAGCAACAGTATTATTACAATAGCAAGAAAATATATTTTAAAAAGAAAATTTTTAAACACTTTATATAGAAAGAAGAAAAAAACAAAAAAAGCTCAATTAAGTAAAACTCTTACACAATTGGAAAGATAGATTAGTATAGAAAAAATAAATATTAAACTAAGGTTTTTAGAAATAACATAAATATGCTAAATAAAAAAATTAGATTTATCAATAAATAACATAGAACTTATATAGACTTAGCACAATTATAAACACACAAGCTTATTAAAAATTTAAAAACTTAGTAAAGAATACTTTAAGCAAAAAAAATTAGTAAGCTAAAAGAACAAAAAAGAAAAGAAATAAAAGACAATATAAAAAGAAGATGCCAAATAATTAATGAAAAACAAGACAAAATGCTAATAAGCCTTTTAAACAAACTAACAAAAAAATTTAACTAAACAGACTAATTAATGAAAAAGAAGAATATAAAAACCTGGTTATTAAACTAGCAAAAGTGCTTATAAAAACAAAAAAAACATTACTAAAACCAGTTTAGATTACATTATTTTAACCAAAATATTTATAAAGAAAGATAAAAAAAATATATAAGCTAAAAAAATTTATCAAAAAAGAATAGTACAAAGGTCTTAATCAAGATATTTTTGAAAAAAATAAAGAGAGATGATTTAAGGGCTTAAAAAGAAAATAGCATAAATTTCAGGCATCATATATATACTAATCCAAACAGCTGAAGTTAAAGCATATAAAATTTTTAGAACATTTACTAAAATTTGTATTAAAACAAGAGCAATATCAAAGAAATAAAAAATATTATAAATCTATTCAATCCTAAATAAAGATAAATAGCATTACAATCTTAGTAATGTCAGACCAATAGCACTACTAGAAACATTTTAAAAATATATGACAAAGATTCAAACCAAAAAATTAGCCAAAATATTTTGGTAAAAAAAAATTCTTTGAGGCCCAAACTTTGTAAAACTTCTAGGAAATTTAACAGAAAAGCTAGTGCATATTATAAACATGTTGATAAAAGATACAAAAAAGAATAATAAAGAGCTTTGGCTAGTTCTATAAGATATAAAAAATACTTTTAACTTAGTATTATTAACAGTCTTAAAAACAGCTATAAAAAGAATTAAACTTTCAGAAATAACAATTAAAATAATCTTAAATTTTTTTCAAAGCAGGCAATCTAGAATAATTATATACTAAGATTATACAGAAGCATTTGTAATAAATAATTGAATAGAATAGAGTGAGATGCTTTATCTTTAATATGAAAAATATTTTATGATCCTTTGCTCAAGAAAATCTAAAAAGATCCAATCTGAATTATATATTAAAAGTTTCAAATCTATATAACAATAGTTTAAATATTTAATAAAGACAAGTTAGAGACAGGCAGTAGTAGCTTTTGCAAATGATACAACTTGAATAGTAAATAGTTAAAAGCAAATAGAGCAGACATTACAAATTGCAGAAAATTTTTTTAAACTAAATAACATTCAAATAACTGAAAAAAAGTTAAAGCTAATTATTATAAATCCAAGTAAATCTAAAGAAAATAAAAAGATCAAATTTAGTAATAAATAGATATATAAAGAAAAAAAGATTAAAATTATAAGATTTTTAGGATTTTGGCTCAACAGCAAACTCAATAAAAACCAAATTAAATCAAGAGTGAAAGAATTAATATGTTCAACAACAAGGCTTTTAAATACTAAAAAAATGACAAGCATACAAGTATTATAGATAAACAACATATATATAGTACCAAAATTAACTTATATGTTACAAACTATAAAGTTGTTAAAAAGAATAATAGATGCTATTCAAGGCTTAATAATAGGTTTAGCCAAGTACAAACTAAAAATTATAAGAACAGTAAGCAATAGCATAATCATATACAAAAATATATGCAACTGTAATGCACTATGAAATCAATTTGTAACAGATTTACATGCAAGACTTAATTTAACTAGATTAGAAAAGATATTTACAAAAATCAGAGTAAACCAAGGCCTTCTGCTTGTTGGTACAACAGAAAAGAATTAGTATAAAATTGCATTAAGAATATGTAGCAGTCTATAAAAAATAATTTGACATGTTAAACAATATTAAAAGCAAAGAACTTGCAAATGCTATTTCATTTTAACAATATAAATATTAAAGAAAAAAATAAAGAAATAAGAATTGCAGAAGTATTAGAAAACAAACTCACCTTTCAAATAGCCTTAGCACTAAGAAGACTTAATATAATCTTAATAAACTAGCTTATTAATAAAGCAGATAACAAAATGATTTTCTGGCATCAACTTAAATTATCAAAAAAAATAATTAAATAAAGGTAGAACAGCTAGCTGTAATGGTGCAAACATTTAAAATCTTAAGGGGTAGCTATTCTAACAAAAATATCATGACAATATGGCACATTTGCCATATAAGTAGAAGTGCCATATGCCATATAAATGCTGTATGCTATATAAGTGCCATATGCTGTATAAGTGCCTTATGCTGTATAAGTACTATATGTCATATATTATATAAGTACTATATGCCATGTCATGTAAGTGAAAGTACATATGTAACATATATTGTATTACATTTAAGCATTATATATCAAAGAATGTTAGAAACTTAGTTTAGTCTAGTTCTGATCCAGTTCTTAAAAAGGTTGACCTGAACTAATTAGAAGCAACTTTGTAATCCAAGCAGTATTATAAATTCAAAAAATTTTTATTCGTGCAAATACAAAAAAATATGAACAAAAAAATAATTTTATATGCATGCTATATATACAAAAAGTACTGATATATGTGCAAATTTAAATTTATGTATGCTGTGCTTACTGCATGAACCCAATTTACATTACTAAATCCAAGTTAAATAATCTAGAATTACATACTGCTGCATTAGTAAAGTTTAAAACACAGATCACCTAAATTTTATTATATAAATATCTGAACTAATTTGAACTAATTCCTAAAAAGCCTGGTTCAAACCTGATCACAACTCTGTTCTTGTGAGCAAAACTATTTGGATTTGGAATTTGAGATTGGATTTGGTTAAGTTCATGAAGACTTGCATATAGTTAGAGCAGATATACTACTAATTTCCTTCTAAGATTTTATTGACAAAATTATTTGTATAATTTTATGTTCTTTTTTTTTTTTTTAAAAAAAAAAAAAAGGATATCTTAGGGTTGGCAAGTAATATTACTAAAATTTTACAAGAACTTTTTATTTTTTTTGTTAGTATGCAGAATTTCACATTGTACTTGTCTTTAACTAGCTAGAGTTAGCAAATATTGAATTTATGTTTTTATCATATAACAAATAAAATTAAGAAAATAACACATTTTATTAAAAATAATTAAAGCCTAATTGTGCTTTAAATATGCAGGGCTGGTATTCTTCTAGAATTAAATTTGGATATAATAAAATTTAAATTTTTATTTACAGATTTAAACTTAGCAATTCTTATACTAATATAGTATCCTTTAAACATATTTCTTAAACATCTTGTAAACAAATTTGCAAATAAAAACAAATTATTTGATAAATCTGCTTGTATATATAATTTATGTCCATATGTATATACATTAATTCATTTGTCAATACCAAGTATCATTTTTAGCTATGGAGAAAAATAAAGAAAATTTAGAAAAAAGACCTATAGATTTGAAGAAAGAAACAGAAAATAGTTCTGAATCAGAAGAATATACAACAAATAGTTCTAGTTTACAACATTCAACTAAAAAAAAAAATCTAGACATTTTTCTAAAATATGGGATTATTATATTAAAGAAGAAGAAAAAAGTCATGGCCATTATGAAGCTACTTGTTATTATTGTGTTTCTAAAAAATTTTAGACAAAAAGAAAACTAGCAAAACTTGAAACATATTTAGCAAATAAATGCCCTAATTGCCCTAAAAACATAACAAATTATTGATGAGAAAAAGTAGCAGAAAGAAATTCTAATTATATACAAAAAAAAAAATCTTACCAACATAACAATAACTATCAATAACATCTCATTTCTTATCTGATTATCTATTACCAAAAGCTACAGTTAGTTGACTTAATTAAAAAATAACTAAAGCTTGGGTGATAGTAGAAATTCCTTTTGAAATTATTGAAAATCCATTTATTAAAGATATGTTTAAAGAAATTCTACCTGCATACAATCTACTATTGAGAACAACTTTATCAGAAAGACTACTTGATAAAGAAATAGCATTAGTAAATTGTATAATAGATAAAGATATAGATAAGACAAATCATTTAACTTTAGATACATATATATTGGCATGGGTGTTATTTTCAAACTAATTTCTTTTAATAAGGATGAATTAGTCTGGCCAAGTCCATTCTAGTCTTTAATAAAACTGGTCCATTAATGTTTTTTAGTTCTAAAAATAGTCTAAATCTTTAGCTATTCTAAGAAAATTAAATAATATTAATATGATACTGGTAATCAAAAATAAGCGATTATGTATCACAATTTTTTAACTATTCATAAAAACTAATCTGAATCAGTCTTAAATCGAGAACCTAATAACTATAAGACTAGTTAAAAGACAAGTCCTTCAATCTCTCCTGGACTGGATATATCTCTATTCTTTAAACTAGCATAAATCTTGTATAAAGCAAAATTAATATATATTTCATAAATTATATGACTGTGCATATTAATTTAAAAATTTACTTTGCATGGGATATGAGGTTATATGATGTAAGGATTATGCATATGATCAAAGTAGTATGCAAATGCATATAATTGTATATTATTAAATTATGGCTCTATTCTATTTGCCATTAGAAATATGCCAATTTAAAAATAATTTCTAAAAGAGTACATTGTTTTAGAAGTTATTTTTATATTATATAGATATCTAACAACTAGAGATGAATGGAACTTATATAGTATTTATACTTATATTAATTTAAATTTATTATTATTTGACAAAAGCTTTAGATGGCTGAACAATGTTAACAATGAAGTCAATATATAATTATATTATTACAACAGACACCTAAAAAGAGTATCTAATTGAGTTAAAAAATTATTCTTTATATTTTTATATGAGTGAATTTCTTACAAATGAAATATCAAATATCATTGAAAAACTTGGCTTAGATAAGTTTGCAGCTGTAGTAATGGATGCAGCTTCAAATTGTAACTTTGCACATCAAAAAATACAAGAAATATATTCACATATTTGGAATGTATGATGCACAGTACACACAATCAATCTTATTGCTTCTGATTTGGTTAAATTAGACAAATTAAAAAAACTAATTGCTGATTGTGAAAAAATTAATCATTTCTTTAATTCTTTTTATTCAAGTCATTCATTGCTTATTAAAGGATTTACAGATATGAAAATTAAAGATGGTGGTCTAAAAATATGGATAAACACTTATTAGAGATCTTTATATTTTACTACAGATTCAATGCTTTATGCATGACCTGTATTTGATTAGGTAAGTATAAATTGTTAATATTTTTACAAAAATTTTATATTTTTGTGATTTTATTAAAATATTAAAGATCTAGTATAAATTATTAAGATTACAGATTGTTAAGTGAAATTTTTTATAGTAAATTGCAAATCTGCCAAAGTACTGTTCATAATAGATTATTGGTACTGTTCCTAATTATATAAAAAAAATCTATTTGTATATCATTCCTGATAGAGTTTAAAAAAATTATGCACTATCAAGTATTAAAGACATAATGTAAAATTTGAAAGCTCTATTATTACTGCTCAATTCGATTGTAAGATTAAATATATGATATATAAATTAAAAAAAACCTCCAAGAAGTTAAAAGTAACTCAGCAATCAATGCAAATATCTTTATTATATTATCTTAAAGATCTCAAGAATAAATAGTTATTAAATTTCAAGATCAATATTATAGATCAATTACAGGTCATAACTTTAGCATTTTTATGAAAAACTGATATCGAGTCTTTTTAAGAACCCTATCAGGAATAGTTAATAAATTATTTCTTTTTCTATTCTATTATGAACAATACTGATAATTCATTAGAAACAGTATTTTTGCTGCAAATCTATTTTGCAATGTTTGTTATAATTATTACTAATTAATATAAAATTATTTTCAGTTACTTTCTGAATATAATGGGCAATTACAAATTAAGAAATTGCTAATTTAATAGCCAATGAAAATTTTTTTATGATGTGTCGATTAGTGTATTCTGTTTGACAGCCTATTAAAGAAGTAATCCATGCATTAGAAACTAACAAAACAATATTAGCAACTGTTTTGCATATTTAATCAAGCTAGCTGCAGCTATTAAATGCTTGCATGAAATAAACATCTTAAAAAACTCTGTGGTTCATATTTTTAATCGATAGTATGAAGAATTTTTATATCCACTTTACATTTTGGCATATTATATTTATTTACAATATAGAAGTACATATGTACATATACAGTCACACTCCCATATCATTTATATAAGCATATTTATTTTTTAAACTAATTATTTATTAAATACTGAAATATAAATTATATATATATAATTATATAAGTACATTTCAGGATTATATGAGAGTGCGACTGTAATTAAAATTAGGTTTTAAATTTTGTAGATCATCAAATAAATAAATATATACTATTGTATCATAATACATTGATGTTATTCTATGCTTTGCTTGGTTTTAAAAAATTACTTTATAAATTTTTAGAAAAAGGTCTAAAAGATAGTAGATTTCGTAAAGCAGCTTTTATGTCTCTTAAGCTTTGGCAAAATCTTGGGCATACTCAGTTAGAAAGTAAAGAACTAATTACACAAATATGACGATTTGAAGCACAATTGTCATCATTTGATCTTCTTTATATTCCAGGTACAGACATTCTAAAAATCTGGTAGGGTCTTTTAAAAGTCCATCTTAATATTTAGCTAAATTAGTTTATAGAATTTTTTCAATTAATCCTATACAAGCAAGTTATGAAAGGAACTTCTCAATATTAAAGTAGATTTTAGGGGATCATTGAATTAATTTAGATATAAATAGGCTAGAGAGAATGTTTAAAATTAGATTGTATTATATGACAAATATCTAGCATGAACTAAGCTTTCCCAATAAAGAATTGACAAAGGCTGATCTTTAATATGCATGCAATATATCTTTAGTTAGTAATATTATAAGCTATGAAGAGGATTAAGTAAGCATTAATAATGAGATTTCAGTAGATAATATGACATCTAATTATTCTACAATCTTGTTAATTGAGGATATTATTGATTTGGAAATTGAAAAAAATTTAAAATCTTTTTTAATAAGAATAGCACAAGATGTCTTACCTGAAGATTTGAATTATAATCCTTATGATGTGTTAAATAATTTTTTAGAATGTGAAAAGCAGAATGGCTAGAATAGTTTATATGTTCAATTTAATAAGATTAAATAAATACTGAAAATTTAATAATTCTACTTTTAAAACAATTTATTATTAAAATACAATTGATTTTTTATTTATTAAAAATCTATTATTTAAGTTTGTATTTAAAAATAAGGTAATGTATTTACTTTATTTTATATATTACAATAAACTTATTTATATTTTAATATAGTGATAATGAAATAAACGTTTTTAATATTATAGTTATGAATTTTTACTACAATGCTCAAATAGTAATAAGTCTAAAGATATCAGTATGAAATTCAGATACTAATAAAGCTTATTCATAGATATGAGCATGTATATTATTTATCATCTTAAAGAATAACAAAGATTTGCATAGAATAACTCTACTAATATTTGTTTTTGAAGGTTAAAGAGAATAACCAGACTTCATGAAATATACAGAATTAATAGTTTACTAAAAAAAGCATTGAAAATTGCATATATATGTATAAGGTTTTTGGCTAGAGACATAATAGAGCTTCCAACATGATATAATTAACATATAGATTTCTCAATTTTAGATGCTAATAATTTACACAATAGTGTTAGTAAGACAAGATATTAAAAGCATTTAGGAATATTATATAACATATATTTATTATTAGGAATATTTTGATGTATATGAACATCTTTTATTTTATTCACAGCTTTTAAATAACTGTTTACATAATTCTATATCTAACGCATATAATCAATTTAATAATTTACAAGCATTGAAATAAAATATTAGTTACAGAGATGAATAGTATCAATCACGTAATTCTCAAAAATGGACAAGTGGTGATAAAAGTATTGACAATTGTATTAATGAACTTCAGCTTAAAACTAAAAGGTATGTTTAATATTAGTCAAAATTAAAACAATTTGATGCATTAAATTTTGAATATAATTAATTTATAATTGATTTACACTTCTTTAGTATACTATTAATTGTGAAATCTTCAGTAGATAATTACATTAAACAATTTTTAACCTAAAATTATAATATTAAATAAATTCTGTTTGATAAACTAATATATTATAAATAAGGAATGAAAGTACTTAACATCAAATTTTTTTTAAAAAAAACAATGCATTTGTTAAATACTATTTAAATTGATATATCATTTGAAATATATAGGCAATATTTTATGTAAATAAATAAATCAAATTTGCCAATTTAAAATATTGTTAAGAAAAAAACTACCAATAAAGTTTATTATACATATATCAATACATACTACTACTTAGTGTTGCAGATAAACCCCCAAAAAGAAATTATGACAATAATTAATAATCAAGTGTATTGTTATAATTTCTTTTTTTGGGTTTTGCCTGCAATACTAGATACTATTAACAAAACTAACAAGCTTATCTATCTATGCTAACCAACTTAAAAACATTTTTAAATAAAACATGTTTTAAGCATTACTTAGACAAATTATTACTAGCATGCTTATTTTTGTTTTAAATCCCAATAGTTCTAAAAAAAATATACATTAAAAACTATTTTATTTTAATGTAAAATAAAATTCAGAAGCTTTATCTTATTATTACAAATGAAATTATATAGAAATTAGCAATAGCATTTAAAAGAGTTCCTAAATACTACTCTTCTTTATACATTAAATAAACCAATATACTATGTTATATTTCTTCTTTTAAGTTAACTGCAGAGGTCTTTTTAAGATTCAGAATAAAGGTTGTCACATAATGAATGTACTAGTATGTGCCCAAATAAATTATATTTGTCTTATATAGAGATGTTAAATGTTCTGTTTAATATCTCTATATATATATATACTTCTGTTACTCATGTTACTGCATATCACTCATGGCATATGACATAAAGCATGCACACAACACCAATTATGGTATTACAGCATTATAACATACTACTTATTCATGGCACACTACTCTATTGCCACATACAGCATAACGGCAACATGACTTGGAGGTAGTACAACCTTCATGCCATAATCATAATGCTATAGGTAGTGACTACCTTTATAAATGTCTGCATCATTAGCCAGCTAGTTTAAAAAAATTGAAAAAATAATATTAAAAAACAAGAACAATAAACAATTAAAATCTAAATATATATTAACAAATGAAAACAGAAAGGCACTTTAAACACCACTCAATAGTTGCTCAAAGAACAATAAAAAAAGAGAATTGATAATGCTAAAATTATTAAAAGAAAAAGAAACTAATAACTTAACAATAAGAAAAGTAGTTATAAACATATCAAAAAAAGTATTTACAAAGCATTAAAAAATAAGATTGATTGAAAACAAAACAAACCAAGTTCTCAAAAAATATAAAGAATATAGTCTTAATCATATAGAAGACTAAAAAGTTGTAGAAAATAGAGTAATAAAGAAAAAGTTTAAGGTTTATTGTCAAGATTATTAGAAAAGATGAAAAATTATTGCTTGTAATAAACCAAAAAATGATATATAGCTAGTAGCAAAAAAGTAAAACTAAAATAAATGAGTTCAAAACTTAGCTTAAAAATATAATATACTATAATTTAGATATAGAATTAATCAAAAACCAGTAGCTAAATAAGGAGTTAAAAGAACTTCTTATTTTTAAGAATTAAAAAAATCAATTATGAGTAGGGTGTAACATTTTAAATTTATATATAAACTTGATGGTATATTTTTTTTGTAATCTTAATTACAAACATTTTTATTAATTAAATATTTTTTGAGCTTATAAGTAAAGTTGTAGAGTAGGTTCTTGTGATTCTAACAATAGTAAA